GCAAGTTACCTAGAGGTGAAAAAAAAATATCAAATAATTTTTCATGTGCAAATAATGAAGGCCCATATTTCACAAAATATCACTGACATTAATCAAATATTACTGCAAGTTTATCTTATTTTTATCAAAATCAGTATTTAATGACACATATTTCCTTTATCACTTCAACCATTATCGATGATATCGAGATATAATTTGTTCAAAGTAAATAAACTACCCTTCTCATATCCTTCGAAATTGGAACATTTCCACAAAGAATCAAACATCCCAACAAGAAATATAAACGGCAACTGTTGTAATGTGGTGCGAATGGTAAACAAAACGTAATTCAATATTTCGATTGTGATAACGAATAGGAAGGAAAGCTATTAATCAAGTGACAACTGGAGAGAGGGAAACTTCATAAAGTTGTGCTGTTTTGTCACAGATACATGGTGAAATCAAAGAGAAAGTTTTTAGACCCAGTTCCTTAATAATTAATAAATGCCAAGCGTTTTGAAAAATTGTTGTGGAGTGGTATAAAAGAATCTTGAGATTTTACACTTGAATAAGATCAGATTTTTCGATGATTTACTGTGAGTTTAATGGTTTTTCTTTATTCTTCTCGCATTTTTGTGGGAGATGTGCTCTTCATTTTACGTATTGATAATTTATTAATAAAAATCACTGTTTATTAAGGAGAAAATATACATTACGCCTCTTTCCTTCTTTCTATTTGAGATTAATATTGATATTTTTAGGTAGACTTATTAAATTACAATATTCAAAATGTCTAAAAAACACCAACAGGAATCGAAAATTATAGATTGTCTCTTCATCAGAAAGCATATTAGAAAGAACAAGATAAATCTGCAATTATTCAGTAGTTAGCAAACAGTATATTGCTAATCACCGTTATGTTAAAGTTGCGGTGCAGAAAAATATTATTGAGAGAGAGTTGTTGGTTTTGAAATACGGTATTTTTCTGCTTTTTCTAGTTTTTCTTTAGAGATGTCTTTTGTAAAATATGACTTTTGAGGTTTTTGTAGATTTCAGTGTAGTTTTTCCTGGATAACTATTCATGACCACTGTGACAATAAAGAACGAGCAATAAGAAAAGAAAAAGAAGAAACAAAAATGAAAAATAGTAAGTGCGAATGGAAACAAAACATTGGGGGGAAGTATACATCTCCTTACTAGATGTTTAGTAGCTGTCGTATGGAACTTGCAGTACCAGTATCAAAATGGTACTATATCGGCTCCAGGAAGGACTTCGACTCCAACGCCAAAAATACTGTTTCACACTCGCAGATCCACGGAAATATCGTTGGATCCAAGTCATATGATAGCTTTTCTTCTTTATGTGCAGGATGTAGCTAACATAATCGATAAAATCTTGAAATAACGAGAATATTTATCCCCCAACAAAAATTTTTATCGCTTGTCCAATGAATCAAAGACAAAATTCTAAATAAACAACACAAAATAGGATTTATGAGCAATCCATTTCTGTTCACGATTTCAATTCAATTTCAGGTCTAGCAGCCATAGAAATTTGAAAAAGACCAAATTGTCTTGATAGAAGAGATGGCATCTGGTTACCTTTAACATGGAGACCTTTTATAAAAAATTACCGTCTGATTGGGAAACGATCACTACAGGAGCAATGCGCAAATAAGGTTAAAAGACTCTGACGTTTCTAGAGCGCCAACTAACACATCCACGAAAGAAGCTAAGCTGCTTGAGAAAAGGAATACCAAACGTTTAGAACAAGTTAAAGATATGGGATACTTGTATAAGATAGAAGGTAACTGTATATACGCTTTTCTGACTATTGGTCGTCTTCAGTACTGTCACGGTGCAAGCAAATTAGAAGAGGAGCATATTAAGTTGGGAAATGATCACTACAGGAGCAATGCGACCAATTTGTAGCAATAATGTTAAAGACTCTAAGGTTTCCAGAGCAACAACTAACACATAGAAAGGGTAAAAGGCAAGTTTCTTCCAATTAAAAACTGGAACAGCTCAGCTAGGAAAAAACCTCGAACAAAAATTCTGGTCCTTTAATTATGCGGATTGGTTTGACGTTCTAGTAAATTTGCCATTCGGAAAACGCTGTAAATATGTAATATGTATGGATTAATACAATGACAAAAATTGAAATGGAAACGAACACTGAAAGTGGCTACATGGAACGTACAAGGTATCAGAAATAAAGAAAAGTAAGTATTATTGAAGCTTGAAAAAGAGGAAATGAATATCTGTGTACTGAGGAAATGAAAAAAAGAAAACGAAAAATTCGACATCTATACGCAAATGTACAGCGGTGTACCAAAGAGTAATAGAGCCAAACGGGGTGTAGCTGTACTCATTTATCATAAAATAGTAAAAAAAGCTCGTAAGGATATGACGGGTAAATTATCATGGCAGAGCTGACGAAAAATGGCCATGATATAGTTATCATAAGGGTTTATGCCCCCAAAAGAGATGCTGCGATAGGAAACAAAGAAAAATTTTACGATAATCTACGGAACGTATTACAAGGAATTAAGAAAAACAAGGAAGTATTCATTTCTTATAAATTTTATCGGATTTTAGAAGAATTTGTTCTTTGTTCATATAAAGTTTGGTAAACAAATTGTTAATGTCAGAAGTAAATCACTTTACAGTTAAAAAATCCCCTGACATTTTACAAGCCTATGATTAAATTGGTGAGTCACTCTTTGCAAGACTTATCCACGTATTAGTTCATATTCATCAACATGAAAATATCCTGTCTTTTAAAAACACGTGATTTTACTATGAATCTTGTATTATTCTGAAGCTATAATTTATCGTTTATAAATAAGGAATTTTCAACAATCGATCGAATAGAACAGAACAACTTAGAAACAAGTTCCTACAGCATACACAAGGAATAATACGAAGAAAATAACAATACCATACATGAACCAAACCAAAACCAAACCTAACAATGAACAAGAAAGGACAAATAATTGCATTTTTAAAATACCTTGTGAACGGAATCAGTTTTATTTAGGTGAAATATCAAGGCCATTAAATGTTAGAATAAGTGAACATCGGTCTTATATTAAAAATAGAAAATTTGATAGATCTCAAATATGTAAACATGCATGGGATAATGAACATAGGGTTCAATGGAATTATTCAAATATAGTCCTAAAAGAAACGGATTGTAAAAAAGAAAAATCAAAGAAGCGGCTCTAATTATGCTAAATGACACCAATTGTGTCGCAAATTCCTCGGCAGAATGCAGTAGGATCTGGTTACCCATATTAAAGAGGAAGTTATTAAAAAGAAAATACCCCTATTAGTAAGTCAGTAACATATGGAGGATGCATCATTTATGTTTTCTAAATAACAAACATATAAAATCAGAATTTGGTGTTTATTGAAAGTAAACTAAATGCACTACCAAATACTTACCATGTTGGGATAGTAATTTGAGGGTTTTTTTCCTGGTTTTCCCTCATGATTTACTATGGAATCACTAACAGGAGAATTTTACTGTCATTATGGCACGCGTTTGTCTTTTTAAGCATGACATGATTTTTTTCTGACGGATATTCTCAAGTTAAAGTTGATTTCATGTAGTCGAATGAACTATCTTATAAGTAAAGTCGTCCCAGGAGCGCAACTCAACAATATTGGTAATATCATTTTAAAGTCGTCTACTTTAAAACGTATAGTGTATGTCTGAATTGTCAATATAAATGAGTCAGATAAAATTAAACTGTCAGAAGAATTTTTCACTAAGTAACAAAAAAAAAAAAAATTTGTTTAATTTACTAATGTTTGTATTTTGGAAACGATTTCTGAAGTGGAAATTGAAACGCCAATAAACGTATTTTAACCTTTAATTGTGGCTTATTCCCATTTAAATAGCAATGAATCTTGTATATCTAATCGATCGATTTAAAAAATTTGCATTTAAAAAATCTCTAACCCGTTGATAATAGTGAAGAGGTGCTTCAATTGATAAAACCAAAACTTTCCTCGTAACTGGCCATTTCGTTGAAGTATAGGAATAATTTGAGTCTGAATAGTATTAAACAAATCTTTAGGTTTGACCATCTCAGTTGTATTTTCGTAAACACTAAACATGAGATGGACCTTCTTTTGGCATGCAAATCATTAAAAATGTTTGCATTTAAATTAAAAATTTAAAAGATTTTTTCTTGAGTTTTATGATGAGTACCATAAACGATCTTCATTAATATTTCAGAGATCTTTTTTACCTTTTTTCAAACATTAACCATTAAAAATCCTAACATTTCCTACTTGGCCAAACTAATCTATCAATCTGTCTGTTTTGCAAGTTGTAAAAAAACATTTGAATTTAGTTTCGCCAAGTAGGAAATTATGAGATTCTTAATGTTGTTACTAGATGGCGTTGTAACGTCTGTAAATAATTATTTTTATAATCATTGTACTATGACGGGAGAGATTTGGTTTTAATTCAGAGCCTCTGCATATGTTGCTTTGATGATACCTGATTAGGTTGAAATACGTATAAGCGGATGACAGACGCCCTGCATTTTTGAATTTGAAACTTATTTTTGAGAAATTGGTTTGGCAACGGTTACCTTCGTTTATTTTTTACTATATTTCAATAAAAAAATGTGTTAGGACACCAGATTAGGTTGTTATTCTCATTAGACTAGTAAATGACTTAATTTGGTTAGGAATTAATCGTAATGAATAAATTTACGGTATTTTAATTATAAAGTTATTTATTTCTCGTTTTTTAACAAATATTTTCTATCAAACTTTTACCAGACAATTAGCAGTAACAAATTTTTTATAGGCTGCAAAAATATACAAGGTGTCCCATTTAAATTATATAAGTTGAGGGTCTTTCCGGAACACTAAAGAGAGCTAAGCACAATACTAAAATCAATAGAGACACTGAAACATAAACGGAGTAGCCAATAAAATAAAAGTAACTGTAACAACATCGGTTAAGAAAATATGCTCAAACACGAAAACAACCAAAACGTCTAAACTCCAACCTGATACAATTAAGCTATTCCAAGAAAGACGAAACAGAACAGATCGAACTTCGGACAAGTTTAAACAAAAACGTGAAGAAAGAAATTAGGAACGATCTTAGAAACTATACTAATATTCTAATAAAAAATATAGTACAAGATAACTGTAATATGAAAGATTCCTTAAGAATGGTACAACTCCGAAGTCATTTTACTGTTCAAGAAAGGAGGCAAACGAAACATCGAGAATTACCGACCAATATCCTTGCTATCACATTTGTATAAATTACTAACTAAAATCATAACCAACCGCCTAACACATAATGCTCGATTTCTATCAACCTATCGAGCAGGTTGGATTTAGAAAACATTTTAGTACCATAGACCACTTGCACACCGTAAGAACACTGATAGAAAAATACACCGCGTAGAATGTTTCAATTCATATGGCGTTCGTCGCTTTCCATAAAGCATTCGGTTCCATCAAATTATGGGCAGTGCTTGAATCTCTAGAAAATGCACGTATAGATTCAAGATACACTAACATAATTAAAAACATATGTTACGATTTTAAAATATTATCTCGTATAAAACTGTAAATATATTGTGACTAATTTTGTTCTATTTGTAGTAATTTCGGCGCTCATACCTGTACCTGCGGCCAGAAATTACTAGAGAATTCTCAAAAAGCGTCGAATAACCAGTCCAGGTAACAGTAACGCAGTCGACGAGCCAGTGTTCTGCGAGTTTTTAGTAGACGAGAAAACGAACGATTTTTCCAGACTGGTTGATGATTCACATAATGGATGGTACGTCATCAGGGGAATTCCCCAGACCTTTCTGAATAACTGTATTTTATATATAAATAACAGGACTTTCATTGAGCAGTTAGTCAAAAAGAAGATCGCGGAATCGTGGTTTAAAATGTACGAACGTAATAAATAGTTGTACAGTAATTTAATAAATTATCGTGAGTTTTAATAAATTAGAATAAAGACAATAAATTGGAATAAAGACAATAAATAAGAACTATATAAAAAAGATAACACATATATGAAAATGCCAACATGCAGAAAAAGCTATACGAGAGCACAACATTAATCCGATAAGACTACAACGGGGAATAAGACAAGGAGACACCATCTCTCCCAAACTATTTACCCTTGCTCTAGAAGACATTTTTAAAAAACTAGAATGGAACAACAAGGGTATTAACGTCGACGGATCATACTTAAACCACTTGAGATTTGCAGATAACATAGTTTTAATAGTTGATGATATCCAAGAACTAAATGATATGTTACAACAATTAAATGCAGTTTCAGGAGCGGTAGACTTAAAAATGAACTATAGCAAAACAAAAATACTGAGCCGAGACCAGACAAATATAACAATACAAAATCATACCATAGAAAATGTTGAACATTACGTATATCTAGGTCATGTCATCAAACTAGGAAAACCAAATCAAGATGCTGAAATTAAAAGAAGAACACAACTGGCATGGGGCATTTTCAGCAAACTAGCATACATCTTAAAAAATACCTTCATTCCAGTAAACTTAAAGAAAAAGGTGTATAGCACATGCATACTACCAGTTTGTACCTACTGCCCAGAGACAGTAGCCCTTACCAAAAAATCTGCTAAAAAATTAGAAACAAAGCAAAGAGCAATGGAACGAATCATGCTTGGAATATCACTGAGAGACAAGATTAGAAACATCAAAATAAGACGTAGAACGAAGGTTAGAGATATTATGACAGATATTACAGAAATGAAATGGCACTGGGCAGGTCACGTAGCCCGATATAATGACAACAGGTCGACATGGAGAATTCTAGAATGGAGACCAAGGACAAACAAGAAGCATGGGAAGACCCTAAAAAAGATAGGTAGATGGCATAAGAACAGTAGTAGGCAAATAGTGGATTAGATTGGCGCAAAATAGAGAAAAATGGAAGCAATTGGGAGAGACTACATTTAGGAGTGGATGAAAAATGGTTGACAAAAAAAGAAGACTTCTGTTGAAATCAGAAGTAGAGTAGTAATAAAAAAAATGGCATTAGATGCACTAAGTACGATTCTACTTGCACATAAAGTTTCATAAATATCGTCTTTTTCATTGCAAGTATATTTATTTGGTTCCATACTTTATCTCCACCCTGTACAATTTTTATTTGTTTGATTTGTATCAGATTTCTCAGTATAATTTTTATTTTATTCGATATGTTTAAAATGAAATTCACACGTCTAATTATGTACTTACGCAAAACATTTTTAAAAATAGATAATCACTTATTTAGGAATTATAATAAAAAGCGGTGTTTTAAAAACTCGATAAAAAAATAATCAGCAAGGTCGTTATCTCTAGCGGCATAAGCGGTGCAGCGGTATTGCTCCATTAAAATTATTCCATCACAGCATCTTGTTAACTGAGTACATTTACTCCAAAAAAAGTAATAAGAAAAATGAAAGCAGCCTGCAAGCAACTTCTGAGAGTTTTCAGCTCGAATTGAAGTCAGAACTTCAGAGTTAAATAATAAAAAAAGAGAGGAAACCTCGGAAAAGTATAAATTGTGGAGAGTGGAAAGCTTTGACGCCTAACTGGCTGTGTTGAATAATTTTATAAAGTAGTTTTTAAACCGAACTTTCGGCAGAAGAAGGAAAGAGAGTGTAAAGGTTGATTATTGTGTCGCACCAGTACACTGCAACACCCAGATAAAAGGAATCTGCGTTAAAGTATTAAAAGACGACAATGCAACTTGTCTATTAAAAATCCGGTAATCTCAGATAACGGCGACGACGCTTTTGTCGCTTTCAATCGCGCCTGAGTCTATTGAAAACGGTTTGTCGCTCTCTTCCTATCGAACAAATCAATAGAAATAAAAAGATACATCCATAAAACTGTAAAAAATTAGAAGTTTTTGAAAGAAAGCCATTTCTTTTTTATTTTATTGACTAGTGCTTGCTTGTAGGGGAAACCGGTGCTATAATTGACAGACACAAGTAGTAACAAGCAAATTTCTCTAATACTGTACCTACACACCTCCAGTGCGTGCATCAATTGGGGAGTTTGGGTGTAAAACCTGGTAACTGACGTTTTACTCAAAATCAAGTTATTGGGTGTAATATATGGTTAATGCATACATAAAACAGATTCCGCTTCAATTTACCAAAAATCACTGTTTTAATAGTGTTAAGCTAGAGCTTAAACAAACTCCGAATGCTGACTCGAACTTCATCGTGGACGTCCAGGCTGTTCGCGACGTTGTTGGTACAAGAAATATATGACCGCTCTGTACGTTGTACCTACATTTTGGTGTTAGATCAGTAATTACGTTTAATCCGCATCTGCAGGATGAAAGTTGTTGTAGCAGCCTATATTCTTATGCATTATTCAGCTAATAAAGAAAAAACTCGTGGAAGGAGATGGTGGCAAACAAAGATATATAAAAGGATGGAGATATATGGTGGCAATCACTTACAATTGGATTTGCAATTTCAGTTGATCAGCGAATTATATAAAAATTTCATAAGAAATTCAGTTTTATATTTAAATTTTTTTCTACATTCCGCTTTTCCCATTTTCGCGGCAATATCCTTCCATGTATCGTTTTTTATTTTATTCTAATATCTGGGATTTTTTGTATCCTATAACATCTCTTTTTCTCAATAATTTTGGACTATTATTATCGGTACATTTGATTGTAATGCGCACACCTGCAAAAAATTCAAACAATAGACGAGAATGAATGGCATGTCGAAAAGATTCGCAATGAGTTCAGAACGTACGACGCGGCGTTTGCATTACCTTTGATACAGTTAACGACAACCAGTAGAATGCTATAATGTCACTTCGTTGACGCGTCGAAGTACAGTACGCGGTTACATGACACCGTCCACACGCGACGGTGTCGAGAAAGCAACGTGGTTCGACACGGAATTTGGAGCCTGTCTGTAATCGGCTTAAAAGATGGTACTTATGTTTGCCAACATGTAAAATATGACACTAGCGAGAAAATGGCTGCCAATAGCGGTTCATATTTTTGGACAACAATTTCATCGAAAATTGTGGTGTTTACAGTGAATCCTGCAACGAAATTTTCATCACAACATGATCCCTACTCAACTGATAAGCAGTCCAATTATTGTCGTATTGCAAATAGTAGCGACACTAAATTGAGTGACATAAAAACATTGTAAGTACATGTTTTGAAATTATCTTAAGTAAAAAGTGGAAACTGCTGCAGATACCATGTTTTACATCACACGATCTATATGTCATTGACTAATCGTACCCTGTGCAGATACTGTATTTAATATTATGGTTCAAAATATTTTTTATGCAAGATATATTTTAGCAACAAGAAAATTATAAAAACGCAAGAAGGCTCATGGATGTCAAGAACAAGAACGAAGATGGATTTTAAGAACAAAGAGGAGAGAACTAAAGCGCAAGAAGGGTTTCAGTGAAAATGCCAACGACAGGAAATTTCTTACTGAAGCATTTTAAACTAACAATATCAGAGGTGAAAAACTCATTGCTATCTCTGACAATTGAGGGAAGCAAAATGAAAATTGCAGTCTTTCTGGTATATGGCTCAGGTTGTATATGGCACTCTCAACAAGTGCAGCACTGTTTCACAGTCGTAAGATACACTATATTGTCATCTGATAGAGATTTTCCACGATAGAGTAGTACATAGGGCTCATTGTCAGTTTGTTAATGTTAAAATAAGTTGGGAGGAAGGTTAAAGAGGACAAAGAAATAACCAGCTTTTCAGGTTTATAGGATGACACAAGAGGATTTTAAACAAATCAATAGATTTCGCGAATATTTTCAGCAACCAGCTGCAACATTATTTATTATCAGAAATGCGGTAAGAATTGGGTTTTTTTTGCAAAAAATCTATTAATTTTACATACTTTCATACAACACTTACCATGGTACAGTTCATCTTCATGTGCCATATCCTCTAAGAAGGTTAGCAACCATCATGGCAATTGGCACTTTCGATACCGCTGCTCTAAAGAGGTCAGCAGAAGTGCAGTTAATCCAAGCTCACAAATCGTTTAACCAGGAGATGCGTCTTCTTCCGCGATTCCTTCTGCCCTCTATTCTTCCTTGTATTATTGATTGCAACAAGTTATATTGCTCACCCCTCATGACATGTCCCAGATTTTGTAGTTTTCTGACTTTAATTGTATTTTAAACCTCTTTATCTTTTCCCATTCTTCTCAACACCTCGACATTCGTGACTCTATGCACCCAATTTATTCTTAATATTCTTTTGTAGGCCCATAACTTGAAGGCTTCTAATCTGTTCGAAACATCTTTCTTTAATGTCCATACCTCCAAGCCATAAAATAATACGGAGAAAGTAGAAGTCTTATCTTTAAAGAAATTAAAATGTCCTACAACCCATAAAATAATACGGAGAACACTTAACAATTTAGAAGTCTTACCTTTAAAGAAATTAAAATGTCCCTGCTGCAGAGTACTTTTTTCAGTTTGTTGAAAGAATTTCTTGCCTGTCCTATATATATATATATATATATATATTATATATATATTAATATATATAATATATATATATATATATATATATAATATATATATAATCGGTTTAAAAACGTCCTCCGACGTCTTCCGATGCCCAATCTCCATGCATCTCTATCTTCCCAAAGATCTTCGTCTAAACCTCTCTCTCGGATCTCTCTGTCTATTCCTTCTCTCCAGCTCTTTTCTGGGTCGGCCTCTTTTTCTCTTTCCATGTGGTGACCAATCTATAATCTGTTTGTCTGTCTTGCCTGTCCTATTCTTGCCTTAATCTCTTCTGTGTGCTCATTATTTTCGTTAATTATTGTACCCAGATATTTATATTTTTCAACTTTTTTAATTTGTTCTCCATGTATTGTTATGTTTTCTTGGCGCTGTTGAGCTTTTGTAATTACCATAAATTGTGTCTTCTTGTGATTAGGGTGAGTCCGTTTACTTCACTGACTTCTACCGCTCTGTCCAACCATTTGTTGTAAATCCTCAAGACATTCCGCTAATAAAATAGTGTCGTAGACAAACCGTATATTATTGATTGATCGGCCATCTACTTTTGTTCCCATAGTAAGTTCTTCTAGTGCTTCCTGGATTATTTCCTCTAAATACAAATTGAACATAGTAGGAGACAGGACACAGCCCTACCTGACGCCCCTTTCAATCTGTATTTCATTTGAAAAGACGTTGTTCTCCTTTAACCACAGCGATCTGATTATTTCGAAGTATTTCGTCAGGACCTGTTGCCTTGTTGTTTTTTGTTCACTTTATCGCCTCTAATACCTCATCTTCTGTTATGTCTGGGCGTTGTCGAACTTTTCCTGCTCTAGTACTATCTCAGTCCGTTCGTCTTTAAATAGCTCTTGAATATATTCCTACCATCTTTTAAGCCTTTCACCGACGTCTATATATTATTTTGCCGTTTTTATTCAGCAGTATGTTTGATGTTTTCTTTATATTAGTGCCCGTTATTTCCCTAATTATTTTATGAAGGTTTAAGCTATCATGTTTCTCTACCAACTGCTCAATCTCTTCGCATCTGTCACTATACTATCTTTCCTTTGCATCTCTGATCTTTCTCCTTATTTTTATTTCTGTTTGTATAATATGATACATGTTTTTGTCTTTGGTTTTACAAGATCTCCTTGCTTCCATGAGGTCCAGAATCTCATTGGTCATCCATTCATTTTTGTGCTTGATCAGCTTAGGTGTTAGTGTTGTCTCAGATGTGCGTATAAGAGCATCTTTTAACATAATATGTCATTTCTTGTTTGCGTCTTTCTTCTTATGGTGTCTATCCATTACGGATGTTGGACACTAACATGGGTATTCTGACTTTTGTTGTTGTTGACTGCTGCCCTGAAAAGTCCGGTAGTGGTTAAGTTAAACCATTTTCGCAGATTATACAGCCAGGATATTCTTCTTATCGTTTGCATTTTAAGTAGGAATAATTT